TAGCGAGGAGGATATTCCTATATTAGAAAGAATTCATAGAATAGAAGACAAAAATAAACGGTTAAGTCAAGAAAATAAAGAATATAAAGAAATGGAACCCAACATAGATTATCAAAGTCTAGAATCTAGCGTTGATGAGAGTGCAGATAAATTAACAAACAATGAAGCAGAAAGGACTACAAGAACGATAAAAAGTGAAAGAGATCACGCCACTGATAATAAAGAGAGTCGACACACACACACAAAATTAGAAATTGGCAGCAGTCCGAAGTAAGATCATCACCCAAAAAGTTTCATAAAAATACTAAGACATGTGACGATAATGAACCTGACAATTTAGGATCCACTGAATTCCCTATCCATAAAACCAAATCTAAAAATAAGAAAGAAACTGCAGAAAATACAACAAAAACTAGAGGTAAAGAGAAAATTAACTTCACCGAAGAAGGGAACAAAAGGGAAAATATTGTGCTAGAGATGTTGAGATTTTCAAATAAAAGCTGATATACAAAGATTATGCAATGCAGACTAGTCTATAGTTAAAATATTGTTGCAGGTGAACGGCAAGCATATCTTAGTAAAGGACTTATCCCTTATTATTTTTGTCATAGTTGCAATTACCCCAGCACAGGACGTAATTGTTACGTATAATGTTGCATTCCATAAAGTCGAAAAGTTGTCTAATATTAAGGGATTTTGGAAAATCATTATAGTAATAGATATGAAACCTTATGAAGACGCCTTACAGACAATTAAATTAAATGTTTTGAGACTTAATAAGTGCACTGAAGAAGTACTTAGGATTATATAAAGAAAGAAAGTGAATGTTATCTAGAAAACTTAAGATTGTTACGACAGGATGTAGCTTTGATAAATAATTCAGCGAGTGATATACTAAAGAGATTATATAAAATAAAACATCATGATAGGTTAAAAAGAGCAGTTCTACTATTTGTAGGTGATGCCCTAAGTTTTCTATTAGGTATTCTGAGTAGTTCAGACCTTAATGATGTTAGAATTAATATTCAAGGGCTTTCAGATAATGAGATAACAATTAAGCATGTAACGGAGAAGACTCTTTCTATTGGTAATTTAACAAGGCAAGATGTTCAAGAAAATCGTCAAAGTTTAAAAAAAATTGAATGATCTGGTAACATATATTTTCAATTATACAAATAGAACTAGTAATTTTACTGAAACATGAGAAAGAAGAATTAAATCTTTTTACTGCAACACATTTGAAACTTTTGACCGCTACTGAAAGGTGTAGGCATATTTTAATGAGAGGAAGACTTCATGGAAAGATTTTTACAATCCGTTAACTTCCTCTTGTTGGGAAGGATTACACCAAACTTTATTTTGCCATATGATTTAGGATAAATATTAAAACATTTTAAGAACACTTTATCACCCAGTCTAGATATGTCCTTAGAAATCGAAAGAAACCTTTGAGAATATTATACATTTTTGAAAAGAGATTGCAGGATTGTATGAGCCCATTTGTTAACGTTTCTTATGTTGCCACTAATAGACACCAGACACTTCTTTGAGTTATATACGATAAATAGCATTTCTCAGTTTTTGGAAAGTCAAGAATCAGGTCAAATAGGAAAATTACCAATGAAACAATATGAGATTAAGGCAAATGCCTTGGTCATTAGTAAGGAAAAACTTTTCATCTCCCTTGTAGACGACCGAGCATTTGAAATGTGCACACATCATCCCTTTAAATTTTGTGAATTGAGCAGAATGTATTATCCGGTAAACGTAGCTAAACTGTCTATGTTAGAATTGTTTGTCAACATCTCACAAGATATAAGAACTCTGTGCCATCGTAAATTGGTATGGCACGTAAATAACGACTATGTGTGAAACTATGTGTTGATTTCATGAATTAAAACAAAATGAAGAGTCTTGAAGACATTTCGAAAAGTTCCAGCAGGGACTGAACAGTTGTTTTAACCTTGATTTGGATCCTTTTTATAGTGACACTTCTTTTTTGTGTGTTAAAAAAAGAAATGACAAATTAACATACGTGAAAAATTGGCTACTGAGAAGCCCTATCCATTCTGAAGTCATGATCCATTACTTGTGCTTGTGCTAATGCAGTGATCTGCCTGATGTTATTGTGCTGTTATACATTGTTCTTATGAGGGGCACAGTGAATACCATGTCAAGAATGGGTGAAATTACATTTTTTTTTTTTAAATCCATATGCACTATGCAAATTAATAATTCTATTTGTATTGTGTCTCAATAATGAAGGGCATACAATGATTAATTTTGTTGTGCCATAGAATTATTCGCTACATTGTTTTCAATAATCCTATAAATGGAATTTCTATTAGTGTTATCTACTGGTCATATTATTCAGAGAGCTGTTGACTTTAATAAACGTCTTAGTGTTGTGTAATCTGAAATTTAGTGGGTATAGTTCTATTGATTATTTAAAGTGTTATTTAGAATGTAACTCTTTTTAATTAGTTTTGGTAACTTATATTAGCCATCGTATAGAGTTAGGCTCAGTGTTGCACTGGTGCAACAGAACTTCAAGTGTCGCAGACATTCCTGCGGCCTCTGTTCATAGAATCTCACGTCTTCGAAGGGTGAGAGTACTTAACTGCTTGACGCAAAAACATACCGACTCATTTTATATTGAGAATATAATATCCTTTCTGATGTTTAACAGCTCCTCATTTTCTTTTATACCTCCCTAAAATCCATTTTCCTTCTATAAGCCTAACAAATAAGAAATCACTCGAGGACATGCACACGAATTAAATGCATGAGGCATCTGTCACATGTGTCAGTACCAACAGTCTCCCACTAGAAGTGCAGGTCGTCATTTATGGAAGCTTTACTAGAATATGCAATTCACAACAAAAACTACAATAGGCATAGACTAAAAGCATTCTTCATGACATGCACAGTTCACAGTGTTGCACCATGCATTCAACTCAATAGCTGGTTGAGAAATCAAGTAACAAACATAACTCATAATTAAACACAACACTTACCCATCTCTGTGAACGGAAGACCAACAAAGTTGTATGAACAGATTCTTCTATAAACAACAACTGTATATTGTTAGAAATATAAGATAGCTAATTATGTAATACACAATTATTTATCTTGAGTCTCCTAACACTGGGAGTCGCCGTGGCGTAGCGGCTAGACACTTGCCGTGAATCAGAAGGTCATTGGTTCGCTACCTGGCGGAGCCGGAATTTTTTCTCAAAAATGACCTCGGCTCCCAGGTCGACCCAGCCTTGAGTGGGTACACGAATGTAAACGCGACCAGCGTGATGCTGACAACATCATCCATCTTGTTTCGATTGGTCTATAAAATATAGGTCTATGGGCCCTATACGCCTAAAGGCACGGAAAGTGATCATTTGCCTTTACTTTACTCCTAACACTGTATGCTGATGGGTTTCTATGCATTTTGTTAACTGACTAAAAAAGGTATTTCTAATTCTAGTGATCAGACCTGACGTTTTCACGTTTGGAACTTTTCGTGTGTGTGTGTGTGTGTGTGTGCATGCGTCTGTGTGTGTGCGCGCGCGTTTGTGCGTGTGTTTGGTGTTGAACTTTTGTGTGTGTGTGCATTACAGCACCCATTCTGGAAACTCAAATGTCACATCCTTGCCTGTTAGCTTCTTGTACACAGAAGTGAAAGTATCCAACTTGTGCTTAACATTGTTCAGCTGACTCTTGTCAATGTGGATTCTGATGACCTTGGAGCCATCCAGTTTCACACGGATACGCTTGCCAACAATCTCTGCTGGGAAACACAAGTCTCCCACAATAGCATCATGAACAGCAGTCAAGGGGCGGCTTCTTGGCCTTTTCTGTATGTTCTTTCTCTTGCTCTTTCTGGTCGGCTTATGCAAAATTCTCCGCTGACCTATAAAGACAACCGGCTTGCCATTGAACTTTTTTTCAAGTTCGCGCACAAGTCGGGTCTGAATCTTCTGATACGCCTTTAACTGGGGCATTGGAACCAAAATAACAATGGCCTTCTTTCCCTGCATATCAATCTCCTTGGCTCCAGTAATGTGTGATCCATACAGCGAAGTCTTCAAGTCTGAGTTCATCTCCAGCTCCAGCAAAGCCTGGCTGATTGAAGATTAATTTCATCAGGCTTCTCGCCCGCTGGCTTTACTATATTTGACCTCATGGAATACGTCTTCGATGGGATTGTATACTTCTCCAGACTTCTAGATATTAAATCAAGGCCTCCTGTCCATTTTGCTCTATCAATGATTTTATTATGTCTTCAAGCGGTTGGCAGATCAAGGCATTTTTTTTTTGGGGGGGGGGGGGGGTTTACTACTGATGTTAAAATTTACATATGCACAGGCTGTGATTTCCCCTCCTTCGAACTTATTGCACGTGTGACACATGTAGCTAATTACTTATTTAATTGTATTTTTTCTCCCTTGTACTTATTGTCTGTACTTTCGCACGGCACATCTTCCTTGTCAATCACATATGTAATGTCCTTTCATTCACTAGGAAGAGGGAGGGGTGTGCGCAGATGGCTGATAAGGCTAATTCTTAGCGCGGACAGTTCTTGCGCAGTGGGAGCACGAGAGATGAACAGGTGGTATGACAGTGACCCAGACAACAGAACATGTATGACATAGTGACTCACACAGAAGAACATGTATGAGACAGTGACACAGACAAAAGAACACTATGACAGTGACACAGACAGAACAGCATGCATGACACAGACAGATGAACATGTATGACGCAGTGAACCAGACAGAAGAGCATGTATGACACAGAAGAACATCTGTGACACTGACAAAAGAACATGTATAACACAGATAGAATAACATTTATGACACAGTGACACAGACAAAAGAACATGTACAAGGACTCATTAGCAAATATGTATAGGTTGGCACGATACAGACTGAAATACTGAGATGGTTGCACACGAATCAAGGAAACACTGAAGGGTGCACCGACTGTGAGCTAACAAACCTTACCATGGGCGAACACCAGGTTCATCTGTAGAGTTGTAATCGGTCCCGCCTTGTTGTCAGTGGCTGATGATATAGCAACGTTTATCTTCGGAAAACCAGGCTTGTCTTTAACATCATTGCAGAGAAGATAAGGAGAACATAAAATAAAATATATATCAGCTTCACAGGCTCAACTACAATAAACAAACAAAAGACGCTGCAGTATTTAGCTTTCATTAGGAAAACAGTTCGAAGAAACAAGATGCAAGATAAACATAAATGACTAGACTCTGAGATGACTAAATAATTCAAAAAAAAATCATCTGATAAGTTACACATCTGATAAATTAGAAAATTAAACAAGTTACACTATCTGAAATGTTATAAAGTCTGACAAGTTAGAGTTTGACAAATTAGACAGTTCAATAAGTTACAATATCTGGAATGTTGAGGGCATCTGTCTGAGAGGCGAAGAGCCAAGGTATAATACAAATAAGCCAGATCTGTATAGCAGATATGTTACTTTTTGCCAGAGTTTAGCTGGTAAACAATAGTTATTTTTTGCCAGAGTTTAGTTGGTAAACAACTGTTCCTTTTTGCTAGAGTTTAGCTGGTAAACAATCGCTACTTTCTGCCAGAGTTTAGCTGTTAAACAATCGTTACTTTTTGCCAGAGTTTAGCTGGTAAACAATCGCTACTTTCTGCCCGAGTTTAGCTGGTAAACAACTGCTACTTTTTGCCAGAGCATAGCTGGTAAACAATCGTTACTTTTTGCCAGAGTTTAGCTGGTAAATACGACGCTGACGACGCTGCTGGAACACGTTCAAAGATGTGAACCCATCAAACCAATCATGTATACCTATTATAATTTATCACAGCCATAACAACACGTGGGTTTCATTCTAGAATCCCCCAGTATCCAAGCAAGCCACGGTGTAACTTACCATTGTAAGTGCAACACAAGGTGCTCATTCAAGCAATCCACAGAATAACTTGCCAAAGCCAACATAGCACATTGTGCTGATCAAAGTAATCTCTGTGTAACTTACCACTGTCAATGTAACACAGGGTGTTAATCCAAGCAATCCCCAGTATAACTTACCAATGCCAGGGTAACACAGAGTGCGAGTGTAGGCTATCCCTAGAATCTGGCCTGGATGTGGGTAGTTTGTGAATAGGTGGTGGGCACAAAATCTTTTCTTGTAGGTTAGGATACTGAGGTACATCCCAAATGACTGCAACAAGAGAGGCATATTAAATTATGGTGAGAGATGTGTGATGTAGGTGAGGGTAGATGTCTGATGGAGGGGAGAGAAGGGGTGTGTGATACAAGTGAGTGGAAAAGATGTGTGATAGAGGTTAGACGGGATGTGTGGTACTGGTGAGGGTAGATGTGTGTGATACAGGTGAGGGGAGACATGTGTTATACGGGTGCATGGAATAGATCTGTGATACAGATGACTGGAATAGATGTGTGACGGAGACGAGAAGGGGTGTATGGTACAGGTGAGGGGAAACAATGCGTGATTTATGTGAGGGAAGATGTGTGGTACAAGTGAGAAAGAATATATGTTTGATTCAGATGAGAAGAGATGTCTTATACAAGTAAGAAGAGATATATGATACAGTTGAAGGCAAGAGACAGGTTAGTTTACTAGATGTATGACAGATGTGAAAAGAGATGTGTGGTACAGGCGAGAAGAGATGGTTGATGCATGTGAGAAAAGTTGTTTGATACGGTGAGACATGGTGAGTGTTACTGGTGAGAATAGATGTGTCACACATAAAGGAAGATATCTTTGATACAATTGAAAATAGATGACTGATACAGGTGAGGTGTTTGATGCAGGTGAGATACAGCCTGTGTGAGCACTTGTAGTCCTTTACAAATAAAATGTGTTTGTTCTTTCTTATGTTACTTCAACCTATACTATTTAAGAGCAAAGAGAGAAAGAAACGCCAAGCTACAGAAAGGGGCACAATTTTATCATAATTCTGACATTCAAAATCTTTGAAATTAATTAGTGAACCTTAGGGTTCATCCGATCAAATGTTAGTTTTCTTTTTTTTTTTTTTTTTCATCTGGCTCATCTGTAGTTTTAAGGCTTATGGACTTTGATGTAAACTATGAAAAACGTGACACAGAAAACTATGCGATTTTACAAGGACAAGGTGACTGGCTTGTGTACCCAGATGGGTACTGTCGTTACCTCATGAAAGGCAGCTAGCTGTCTTTAATGTTTTTTGGACAAGCATCGAAGTTAATAGTAACATCCCAAGAGACAGCAAACTCAAGGGCTCGGGTATCACTTTCTAAAGATGCTGGTCTTTCAAGGCTGTCGTAGCAAAGTGCCAAAACGGAACCAGTTCATTCATGATTATGGTAGCAACCGACCTCAAGAGAGAGAGAGAGAGAGAGAGAGAGAGAGAGAGAGAGGGGGGGGGGGAAATACTGGTCACCAAATTTCAGCGCGATACCACTTCGGTAATAGATTATGTAACTGGAATGCTCAAAATATTAAATAGTCAGCTGATGTTACTTGTACAAGTACAGAATGAATTCGTCAGGTGATTTTTTGATGTACAAGAGATAACATAGTAATATGTATGCGATATGTAATTACACTGCCGACTACTGCAGATAAGTTGAAAGTGTTGTTGTTTTTTTTTTTTTAAACCTAATTTCATCTACTTAATTTATTTGTGCCCAAAAAATGTTAATGTTAAATAATAATGTTACAAGTGGAAGAATTTAAAGTAAAATAAAAATTAAACTTTTTGTGGCCGAAGTGATTTGGTGGAGGTTCTTTATTGGTGGAGATTTTAGTCTTTTGTCACGGTGGTTCTGTTTTTTGTTTTTGTTTTTTCTGTGTGGAGGCTGTGATTTTTTTTTTTTTTTTTGCTGCCTGATCTTTTTGTGGAGGCTATTATGGAGGCTTTAGTCTTTCTTGGTGGAGATGACGGTCACTTGTTGGATCTTAAGGAGGCTAATGACTTTTGCTGGAGGCTATGATCTTTCTTGGTGGAGATGACGGTCACTTGTTGTTGGATCTTAAGGAGGCTAATGACTTTTGCTGGAGGCTCTGGTCTTTCTTGGTGGAGATGACGGTCATTAGTTGTTGGATCTTAAGGAGGCTAATGACTTTAGCTGGAGGCTATGGTCTTTCTTGGTGGAGATGACGGTCATTAGTTGTTGGATCTTAAGGAGGCTAATGATTTTAGCTGGAGGCTATGGTCTTTCTTGGTGGAGATGACGGTCATTAGTTGTTGGATCTTAAGGAGGCTAATGACTTTAGCTGGAGGCTATGATCTTTCTTGGTGGAGATGACGGTCATTAGTTGTTGGATCTTAAGGAGGCTAATGACTTTTGCTGGAGGCTATGGTCTTTCTTGGTGGAGATGACGGTCATTAGTTGTTGGATCTTAAGGAGGCTAATGACTTTAGCTGGAGGCTATGGTCTTTCTTGGTGGAGATGACGGTCATTTGTTGTTGGATCTTAAGGAGGCTAATGACTTTAGCTGGAGGCTATGGTCTTTCTTGGTGGAGATGACGGTCATTATCTGTTGGATCTTAAGGGGGCTAATGACTTTTGCTGGAGGCTATGGTCTTTTGGTGGATCTATATGAAAGTATATACAAAAAACAACAACAACAAAACAACAACTAAACTGCAATTATTGCAAATAAGGCTGGTGTCAGCTTATTAAGTGAAGGTGATCAATAACTGAAGGAGCAGCCCTCGTTATAAAAAAAATTGCGACTTTAAGGACTAATCTAGTAATTATAAACACTGAGATAGTCAAGTCTTGGTCACTTGTGACTTAGTTGCCCTACAACAGTTGTCAATACTACCTGTTATCTGTTACCTTGGTCAGATATGACTGAGCAACTCTACAACAGTAGTCATTCACTGATCTCTGTTAATTTGGTCATATATGACAGTAGTCATTACTACATGGTCAACAGCTCTTACTTCAGCTCAATATGTCCTGGCCTGAGCCCGTTTAGAGGTAACTCCGCTATCGCTCAACAGCTTCGGCACACAACAAGGGAGGCAACAGTTACCGGTCACAAGCCTGTGCTTGAAAGGCGCCAGGGGTTACTTCAGACGGTGGGAGAGATCATTGTAATCTTATTGGTCAACTGCCGCCCACCTCAATTAGTCAGTGAGATGCTGTCTAGCCACGGTCCGTTTGCCTTGCTTGGTGCTCAGGGCTTAGGAAACAACCCGACATACAGATCGTAACCATTGTACCCATACAAAAAAAAATAAACTAACAGAATCTAAACTCTAAAGCTGGGCAAATGGAATATGAGGATCATAATCAAGTTTTGTAAAAAGATCTGCAGCACATGAATAAGGCGATGAAAACAGCAGTTATCAACTATGAACTATGCAGACTGAATAAGACACAGTTGCTCTACATTAAACACAACTTTCCTACTCTAGCAGCGTCAAGAAAAAAGACTACACATTTTTTGGCAGGGGAAAAAAACCATCTCCAGTCCCCAGAGAACAATGCTTTGCAATCAGGAACTGTTTGCTTGGAACTGTCACACCGCCTACAGGGGGCTCAGAAAGGATCCCTAAAATCCAGATTCGAACAAGAGCTGACCAACAACCCATATAAGGGCCTAGGCACCAACCCTGTCCTCTCCTTCTGGCTTAAAATAAATAGTTTCTACAAGGAACTCGGCGCTGCAGGTCAGTGAGGTCCCAGGCAAGGATATTTATCCTAGGGGACTGGATTCAACCGATGGGGCTGAGCAAAGCTCAAGGTCATCTTGTCTGTGACACTAAGGAATTAGGAAAATGAATGCAAATGGACAGCGGCTGCCCGAACTCTGCTCTCTACACATCCTCTGTGTCACAAACATCTCTTTTTATGTGAAGCCCAGGCACATTGTCTTTTGGAGACACCACAGATCCAATCACTGGCACTATCTCGATGTTATACTCACTGTACGTAGTGACCTTCAACTTGTCAAGATCACCCGAAGATATCAAGACGCAGATCACTCCCTGGTATGCAGCAAACTCAGAATGCAATGATTAAAGAGGCCAGGACGGCCGCGAACTGACTTAGAGCCCAGGAAAAGTGGGCGAATTTGTAGAAACTTTAAGTACACCTCTATCCGGCCTATTGAACGCAGATACCAACGAAAGATGGAACCACCTTAAAATCCTCTTAATTATTTTTGTTATTCGGCAAGAAACAAACCCATTCACTAGACTTGTTGGCGGTTCACAAGGCGATGCTGTCAGTAAGAGAGCAGAAGAAAAGTGCTCTGTTAACACATAAATCTGCTAAATGACAGAAACCTACAACTGCTTCGGAACCTCCGCGTCTGTTAACTCTGTTCTATATTACTGAGCTACTGTACAATAGTGTCATTACTACCTGTTGACTGACTGACCCTTTACCCCACCCGGACATCACACTAGCGATAAACACCCGGTGACACAAAGTGCCGCCATGCGGATGAGGATCACCCGTGGAGAGGTCCCAGAAACCCCTTTCAGCCGTTATGGATATATCTATGGGTAGGCCATGTATAAATATATATATAATATATATATATATATATATGTGTGTGTGTGCGTGTGTGCCCCGGCTAGATTCAGGGCCCCCAGCAGAAGCTAGTGTGGGGCTTTAAGTAACACAAAATTGCATCCCACATGGGGACGACTTTTACTACCTGTTCTCTGTTAAGTTGGTCATATAGGACTGAGCTACCGTCTAACAGTCGGCAGTACTGCGTGGTCTCGCAATGCACTAAACAGGACATCCCACATTGTGGCAACGGCTGTGGGAGCAGACTAGCCTTGGGGAGGATACTATAGAAAGAGGAAATGCAACCTGAAACTCACTGTTATGGGTTTGTGGTTTAAATAACAGATCAGCATTATGGCACAAGGGTACCAACGCATAAGTGCTCCGTTCTACTTCCAACTCAAGTCCGAGTCCGAATAATCTCAGCGCAGTGCACGAACTTTGTAGCACGAGCGAGGGCCTTGAAATAAATTTGGGTAGAATTTTAACTCCAAGTGTTGCCCGGGCAGCGCCGTAAGCTATTCTTTTCAATTTCCAACTGCCATTGGATTTTTTACTTGCACAACAATACACATTGGCGTCCGATCTTGCTACCCAGAGACCAAGGCAAATTACTAGAATTCCAGGTGCAAAAAATCCCATTCTTTACCGGGGCCTAAACCCGGGACCTCCAGCACTCGAGGCGGACGCCATGCCTTGAGATCACATAACCCCCCCCCCCCTCCTCCCATTCTCAGTGTTTTGTGTGTGTGTGTGGCAGGGAAGACCAGGCTCTTAGCCTTCTGTGGCAACTGGTCTAGAAAGGAAGTTCCGACAAGTGGACAAAGTACTGCTTTTCCAGCAGCATGATATCTTCCAAGTATTTTCATGTCACCTTTCCTTTGCAGTAAACAAGGCAGTTCGAGTGAGGGATCATCCTACATGGGCAACACACTATTTCTTGTTTTTTTTTTTTAAATAACTGCAGACTGTGCAATGAGGTATTTTAACTCTGGCTTTTAATTGTCAAACCGGCCATCGCCAGAGGCTGCAGTTTCCATACCTCCATGTAGCACAATATGACTATCGCTTGGAAAGGTGAAAAACTGGAAAGGGCCATGCAGCCAAATAAAAAAAAAATAAAAAACACTGAGCTGTCACTTTACCGCTAGTCGGTCTGATGCTGTCCACTTTGTATTGTAATTGAAGTGTGTGAGATTAGTGTAATTAAAATCCGATGGCTGTTCACTGTAAGCTCTGTATAAGCTAATCTGAAAGACAAACCACAACAATACTGTTGGTATGCAATGATACTGAAAGACAAAACACAACAATACTGTTGGTATGCAATGATACTGAAAGACAAAACACAACAATATTGTTGGTATGCAATGATACTGAAAGACAAACCACAATACTGTTGGTATGCAATGATACTGAAAGACAAACCACAACAATACTGTTGGTATGCAATGATACTGAAAGACAAAACACAACAATATTGTTGGTATGCAATGATATGTTAGGTAATGGTAATGACATGTAATGGTAAGGAATACAATGGTATGCTTTCCGACTGTGCCGTGTTTGTGAACTGCAGATTTAGAAAATGGCAAACCGGCCTTTCATCGCAGAACTGGTAGTGCCTTATGTATTTTTGGATGTTCCGCTGCTGACCTATTGTAATGACTGCTTCTACCGACGATGAGCTGCAATTTTAGTGGCTGACCTGTTTGTGTTTGATTTCCTGATGGTTCCTATGCATTTAATGTGTATGTATGCTACTGGCTTTTCCAAGACAGTAGCCAGTTTCCATGCCCTAACAAAGTGGTACTGTGAACACAGTAAAGACTGAAGCTATCAGATCACTGCCCTAACACAGTGGTATTGTAGACACACTATAGACACGGTAAAGACTGAAGCTATCAGATCACTGCCCTAACACAGTGGTACTGTAGACACACCATAGACACGGTAAAGACTGAAGTAATCAGATCACTGCCCTAACACAGTGGTACTGTAGACACACTATAGACACGGTAAAGACTGAAGCTATCAGATCACTGCCCTAACACAGTGGTACTGTAGACACACTAGAGACACGGTAAAGACTGAAGCTATCAGATCACTGCCCTAACACAGTGGTACTGTAGACACACTATAGACACGGTAAAGACTGAAGCTATCAGATCACTGCCCTAACACAGTGGTACTGTAGACACACTATAGACACGGTAAAGACTGAAGCTATCAGATCACTGCCCTAACACAGTGGTACTGTAGACACACTATAGACACGGTAAAGACTGAAGCTATCCGATCAGTGCTCTGTCAAGATTCCTGGACCACAGAGATGACTGCTGGATACTCATTGACAACAAAAACATATTTCTATAATAGCCCATGTCATGTGGCACTGGTGGTCACATTTGTCTTCAGCCTCTTGTTTTTTCTTCTTCTCGTTAGCGTTCACCAGTTGTCAAATCTGGTAGAATGTTCTGGCTGTTTTAGAAAGTTCTACTTCGGGGCTTTGGTTTTGTTCCAGAACCTGAGTTTTATGTGCACATCCTTATTTGTTAGCAGACTTTTTGGTCCTTTTCTCTGAGGCACATGTACTCCAAGTTCAAAAGAAGCACCCCTAATTAGCCGCCTTTTACGACATGCTTGGACTTAGGGTTCGTTTTCTCATCCTAAAAACCAACCAATCATAAAGAAAAATAACCCAAATCTCTTTGCATAGGAGCCCACTGGACAAAAAAAAAAAAAAAATAATAATAATAAAGGCAGCCAGAAACCCCTAAGGACAAGAAAAGTAGAGCTAAAGAAATAACCTCTTCAGGTAAAAGAGTGTATGGAAGGAATGGATGATTGTGAATAGATGTAAGAAAGGAATGGAAGGAAGTGGTATAAGAGAGATGGACAAAAGAAAACAGGAAGGGGTAAATATGGAATAGCTATCTATATGTGTGTATGTGTGTGTAGGTATGCCAGTAGATGTGTCGGTATATATATGCATTTGTACAGTGTAAAATATGTAAAGTATTACGTGGTGAACTGCCTGTGATGGCAAAGGTTAGAACGGCTTTGTGTGAGCTGGTTGAGGGCCTATGCTCCACTGGAGGATAAAGGGAAGAAGAAGTACAAGACGAATGTGTGTGTTGCTATGTGTGTTCACTGACACCCGTCTTTTTACAGTCCATGACATCTGGTGCTGGAAGTCGCATATGTCCATGACCTACAGTCTTCGTACCACCAATGTCATGTCTTATTTGTCATTGCGTGTGCTCACAGCTTCGTATCTCCTCAGTTTCTGTGATATGTTATTTGCAATTGTGTATGCTCACATCCTCGTATATCCTCGATTTATACCATGTGTCATTTGTCATTGCGTATGCTCACAATCTCGTTTCTCTTCAGTTTATGCCATGTGCCATTTGTCATTGTGTATGCTCACAGTTTCGTATCTCCTCATTTTATGCCATGTGTCATTGTGTATGATCACAGCCTCCAATCTCCTCATTTTATGCCATGTGTCATTGTGTATGATCACAGCCTCCAATCTCCTCATTTTATGCCATGTGTCGTTGTGTATGATCACAACCTCCAATCTTCTTATTTTATGCCATGTGTCATTGTGTATGATCACAGCCTCCAATCTCCTCAGTTCATGACATGTGTCGTTGTGAATGATCACATCTTCCAATCTCCTCAGTTTATGCCATGTGTCGTTTTGTATGATCACATCTTCCAATCTCCTCAGTTTATGCCATGTGTCGTTGTGTATGATCACATCTTCCAATCTCCTCAGTTCATGCCATGTGTCGCGGTGTATGATCACATCCTCCAACCTCCACATTTTATGCCATGTGTCGTTGTGAATGATCACATCCTCCAAACTCCTCATTTTATGCCATTTGTCGTTGTGTATGATCACATCCTCCAACCTCCTCATTTTATGCCATTTGTCGTTGTGTATGATCACATCCTCCAACCTCCTTATTTTATGCTATTTGTCGTTGTGTATGATCACATCCTCCAACCTCCACATTTTATGCTATTTGTCGTTGTGTATGATCACATCCTCCAACCTCCACATTTTATGATATGTGTCGTTGTGTATGATCACATCCTCCAACCTCCACATTTTATGATATGTGTCGTTGTGTATGATCACAGCCTCCAACCTCCACATTTTATGATATGTGTCGTTGTGTATGATCACATCCTCCAACCTCCACATTTTATGCCATGTGTCGTTGTGTATGATCACATCCTCCAACCTCCTCATTTTATGCCATTTGTCGTTGTGTATGATCACATCCTCCAACCTCCACATTTTATGCCATGTGTCGTTGTGTATTATCACATCCTCCAACCTCCTCATTTTATGCCATGTGTCGTTGTGTATGAGCACATCCTCCAACCTCCTCATTTTATGCCATTTGTCGTTGTGTATGATCACATCCTCCAGCCTCCTCATTTTATGCCATTTGTCGTTGTGTATGATCACATCCTCCAACCTCATCATTTTATGCCATGTGTCGTTGTGTATGATCACAGCCTACAATCTCCTCATTTTATGCCATGTGTCGTTGTGTATGATCACAGCCTCCAACCTCCTCATTTTATGCCATGTGTCATTGTGTATGATCACAGCCTCCAATCTCCTCATTTTATGCCATGTGTCATTGTGTATGATCACAGCCTCCAATCTCCTCATTTTATGCCATGTGTCGTTGTGTATGATCACAACCTCCAATCTTCTTATTTTATGCCATGTGTCATTGTGTATGATCACAGCCTCCAATCTCCTCAGTTCATGACATGTGTCGTTGTGTATGATCACATCTTCCAATCTCCTCAGTTTATGCCATGTGTCGTTTTGTATGATCACATCTTCCAATCTCCTCAGTTTATGCCATGTGTCGTTGTGTATGATCACATCTTCCAATCTCCTCAGTTCATGCCATGTGTCGCGGTGTATGATCACATCCTCCAACCTCCACATTTTATGCCATGTGTCGTTGTGAATGATCACATCCTCCAAACTCCTCATTTTATGCCATTTGTCGTTGTGTATGATCACATCCTCCAACCTCCTCATTTTATGCCATTTGTCGTTGTGTATGGTCACATCCTCCAACCTCCTTATTTTATGCTATTTGTCGTTGTGTATGATCACATCCTCCAACCTCCACATTTTATGCTATTTGTCGTTGTGTATGATCACATCCTCCAACCTCCACATTTTATGATATGTGTCGTTGTGTATGATCGCATCCTCCAACCTCCACATTTTATGCTATTTGTCGTTGTGTATGATCACAGCCTCCAACCTCCACATTTTATGATATGTGTCGTTGTGTATGATCACATCCTCCAACCTCCACATTTTATGCCATGTGTCGTTGTGTATGATCACATCCTCCAACCTCCTCATTTTGTGCCATTTGTCGTTGTGTATGATCACATCCTCCAACATCCACATTTTATGCCATGTGTCGTTGTGTATTATCACATCCTCCAACCTCCTCATTTTATGCCATGTGTCGTTGTGTATGATCACATCCTCCAACCTCCTCATTTTATGCCATTTGTCGTTGTGTATGATCACATCCTCCAGCCTCCTCATTTTATGCCATTTGTCGTTGTGTATGATCACATCCTCCAACCTCCTCATTTTATGCCATGTGTCTTTGTGTATGATCACAGCCTCCAATCTCCTCATTTTATGCCATGTGTCATTGTGTATGATCACAGCCTCCAATCTCCTCATTTGATGCCATGAGTCGTTGTGTATGATCACAGCCTCCAATCTCCTCATTTTATGCCATGTGTCGTTGTGTATGATCACAGCCTCCAATCTCCTCATTTTATGCCATGTGTCGTTGTGTTTGCTCCCAGCCTCGAATCGCCTCAGTTGCTTTCATGTGCTGTTTGGTAGGGACATGAATTATGTGATATGTTCTGAGGCAGAGAAATGGCTGATGTGATATGTTCTGAGGCAGAGAAATGGCTGATGTGATATGTTCTGAGGCAGAGAAATGGTTGATGTGATATGTTCTGAGGCAGAGAAATGGTTGATGTGGTATATTTCAATGGAAGGAAATAGCTGATTTATTTACAAACAAGAAGAACCACGATTTACCCCGTCGCTATAAATCACTGACAGAATCAACACAGATGCCAGTAACAACAAGTATATGTAAAACATCTCTTAAAATAAGCATGACCATCTTCAATTCTGACGTAACAAAGGCCAAACTCAACTTGGCCACATATATCAGATAATTAATTAATGAAATTATTATTACCTCTCCAACGCGAAAGCCAATACCCAAGTACGTCCGGTGACTATCTACAAACTTTGATGTGGTGTAAATATTGTCCATGAAGTTGACAGAGGCAAACTGAAAATTCAGTGTATCCATGTACGACTGACTGACGTAAGTGTTAATGAAAACAGTAGCATCATAATCTACAGGCACAGTGCCGCTTTCAATTCTTCAGTCAGCAGATAACTCCATAGTTGAGGCTGGCTACAATGGATCTCTCATAGATAATTTTTAGCTCAGCTTCTGTATCCAAGGGTGGTTTTGGAACTTATCTATCTCTAAAAATATTCAGTCCATCTTTTCATTCTTTTGATTAACAGTGAAAGGTTGCCCATTGCTTCATTCATAAATCTACCGGACTGATGACTTTCCCGATTCCTCCCTTGTCATCACTTTCCTCTGCCTCTTATCCTCTCATGGAGCAGTCACTCTATCAGATCAGTTCCCTGGCTATTGCAGCTAAAGCTTTTTGTTAAGGGATTGGGTAGCCAGCCCCAAGATGAACTTTATCATTAGTTGCCTTCTATGACATGTTTGTTAGGACTGCTGTTCTCTGCTTTTCCTAATCGTCTGTTAGTCTAATGTGATATAGCCATCGTCATAACACTGATCAGATTCACTATGCTCCCTGTCCAGGGTTTCAGAACCCCATATTGGAGGAAGGGTGGATATAACCACCGTTTCTTCCTTTTACCAGCATGTTATAAAAGGCGACTAAAAAATGCGTTTCCTTTAAAATTTGAATACATGTAATTGAGAAGCTAGGAACCAACAGTGTGTATACAGGTAAGCATGATCTGTAAAACGGATCTGCACACAGAACTCAAATCATGGATCTAGGTCCAGAAGTGGACGAACAAAGAGAACTTTCCGCCGGTGAAGACTAAAAAAAAACCGGAAGATTCCCTATGATTTATGAGGCTGTATAAACATCAGACATGATGCCTGCTGCCACTGCTCCTGTAGCTTCTACACGAAGTGATCAATTCTGAAGTGGCCATGTTTCGGTATGTCTGCTGGAGTATGTATGCGTGTTTGGGAATTAGTTCTTGAGAGTCAATGTGCATTTTGTATGTCTGTATTTTGTATGTCTGTTGGTTTGGGATCTGTGAGGTGGGTATGTATAAGCGGGAGAGACTGATGCCTCAGCACATAATATTCCCAAAGACAACAGTGGTAAACTGCTGTCAACCTTCACTGTGAAGACGGCACGGAACTGTTTTTATGCATGTGTAGCAATAGTAGAACTGTTTACCAAAATCTACTGTTTAATCCTCAGGGTTACATCTAGGATTTATAATTTCTTTGAGCTCTCAGAGTACATATTTTCAGAGTATTCATTTCCTATTTTATAAATCGTGTAATACTTTTTTTTTAAATAATATGTATTATCATTTCTTTTTGTGGGTTGTGCTTACAGTAGAAATTGTACAATGAATATCTAGATAACCTTATTAACACTGTGTCCTTAAAACAGTCAATTCCTTTATATAGTGTATACAGCAGTTAATCATTATCATCATCATGTGCCCTGCCAGCTGGCTTAGACGCTCATGCGTCTCCACAGATCACGATCCCTGGTTGCCTGGAACAGCTCTCATCTCTTGATGATATCCCTCCATGGCATCGTTTCAGCCGATCCAGCATCAACTCTCTTGGTCTTCATCTACCCCTTTTCCCCCACTGATCTTACCAGTTGTCACGATGTTCTCCAAAGTCGCTCTTCTCATTATGCGGCCAAAGAACAGTGTCTGTCTCTTTCTTTTTGTTGTATATAGAGATCTACTTTCATTAGCTTCTTTCAAGCAATCGTTGTTCCCTTGCGTTAATTTTGGATGTAACGGTAATTATGTTCAAAGATTGCGTGGGCATTTCCCTAATCTATTAGATCCTAGTTTTAATCATAGTAATATACTTGCAGACCTTGTCAGGCCGGTCTCCATGGCTGTCAATGTGTGACACGTTTTCCATCATCATAGGCACAGTGGTACCTTGGAATTCGAACCTAATCCTTTCCGAGTGGGTGTTTTATTTTCAAGTCGTTCGAGTTCTAACGCAATTTTTCTCATTGAAAATAACGGAAATTTAAAAAAACATCTATTCTAGGGTCCAATAAACTCAAATTTTAAAATTTATTTTCCCAAAACAGTATACTGTAAAAATAAAAAATAAAAATTGCTGGTATATTTTAAAACAAACATAAATAAATGAATAAATATAAAGATATAAAATCCTAACATTTACCGTACCTTAATCAAAATGGTGACACAGCACATAGAAATTGGAGGAGAAAGAAGAAATTTAGGGACATTATTGTTTGAAAGGTGAGTCACCTTTCATGATAACATCAAGAATCCTTCTGGTGTTTCATATCGTAGTCGTTCATCATTTGTAGAAGGTTTGGGGTCACTAGTTGTTGTTGACACCGTAAATTTAAAAATGCTCTGGTGCTGACGACCATTTAGACTTTTTCTAAAAAGTTGATAATATTTGAATTGAATAACCTGTTAACTAGTGCTCTATCATGGGGCCACCTCTGAACAGCTTCTTGCATTTTGACCGCATGGTCCAAAGACCTTGGATGTCCCTACTGCTAATCATTCCAGCTTCCTCCTCTTTCTCCTCGGAAGAAGAAATGTCTTCTGCATTTTAGTCCTACTGCTGCTAGCGACACCTTCCTCTCTGAAGCTCTTGAGATGCCAACTCAGTCGCGTGATCGTTTGGTTTCCAACTTGCAAAATCCGATCGCATTCCAAGTGGCTCGAGTTCTGATGAGTTCGAAAAAAAGAAGTACCACTGCAATTTACAATGAGGCCATGGTGTAGATGCTTGCCTGCGGATCCAAAGGACGTAGCCTAAAATGGGTATCCGGTAAAGTCGAAGAAAGTAAATGCGGTCGGCATGGTGTTGACCACATCGCCCATCGAGTGCCGGTTGGTCTATAAAATATAGGTCTAGCTCTGTTTACCCAAAAGCCTGAAGGCACCGTTTCCTAAACTTGTCTTAGTCGTGGCGCCTTTTCCCACTAAAATGTGTCCGCGGCGCTCTAGAATAAGTAAAAGTATGACTTTTCGTATGTAAGAGATTTTAAAAAATTTCGAGGCGCCCCTGTGAAGAGATCACAGCTCCCTATGGCGCCGCAGCGCAGTTTGGGAATCACTGCATAAAGGCGTTTAAAACGGATCCTTTTAGTAACGTACAGCTCCATGCATTCAGTTACTGGTTTTCTTTGAAGTTCTCATTTCTTACACCCCAAAAAGCAGTCCTCTATATTACTGAACTTCTGGCGTGTGTATGTGTGTGTGGATGTTTGATATGTACTGTGTGTACCTGTGTATTTGAGAATGTTTCTTTCTGTGTTGGCTTCTGCATGGAATAAGGTATCCGGATCTCTCTCTGTATTTCTATGTCTCTCTCTCTCTCTCTGTGAGTGTGTGTGTGTGTGTGTGTGTGTGTGTGTGTGTGTGTGTGTTTGTTTGTTTGCATAGGTAGTACTTTATGAGTAACAGTAGCCATCTCCATAACTCACCATTAAAGCTACACAGGAAGCGAAACTGCCTTTGCACACTCCCATATACAATGTGAAATCTCCAACCAGGTTAAGCACACAGACCTTATTCTCAAAAGATCTCTTGCCTCTCGTTGCTCCATCACTTTTCTTGAACGATATCTTGTCTTGGTTCTTTCTTGCTTTGACGCTTTCTTGATTGGTTTTTCCTCAAAAAGTGATAACATCAAGTTTATATGGTACTGAACTTATGTAGGTTATGAAGTAAAATATCAAGAATAGCGATAAAATCAAAGCTATATTGATGTTAACTACACAGATTGTATAGTAAAATATTTGACAAGAGATCAAATCGAGCTAAATGGTGTGTACGATTGTGTACACATGATATATTTAACACGGTGGGGGGGGGGGGGGGGTGAAAAGCAATTGCTTTTTATACAGTCGAGTCCACTTAAGTCGAACTCGGATAAGTCGAATTTTGGTTAAGTCGATATGACCAGCAATTGTCTCTATTGTGTTTGCTGTCTGGATAAGTCAAAATCCTGATAAGTGGAAGCATTTTCTTAGGTCCCTGCGACTTATACTTATCTAGACTCGACTGTAGTGATAAATTCTCCTGCTTTCACTCTTGTCAGGCTGTTACCGTTTGGATAGCGACTTTCTCGTTAACTAGGGAGGAGGGTATTTCTTCTTCTCGCTAATTAAGATATGCCTGAAAGGAGGGTAATTCTTGTCGTTCTCTAGGTGTGTTCTCTCACTCCACGTTTTTCGGGGCAAAAAAAGGCGGGGAAGGGGGGGGGGGGTGTCAGGTTTTTTTTGTGTTCGTTCCTGTAGCCCATTGTTCTTTATTGTGTCACTGGTCCTAAGCGCGGCAACTATATAAATGTCATGTGGTGCTTAATTGTTTTGTTCCTCCAGAAAATGAGCCCAACCCTCTAGAGCGCCGCCACTCACACCTTGACTTCGGGGTATTTCTCTATATACGAGTCACGCTCCGCTACTGCCTCTTGTATGCACCGCCTAAGCAATCCTATTGCTCCTCCAGCAAATACCCTTGGCTCTCCAGAGCGCTACCCCTCAACACCTGACTCGTGAATATTTTCTGATACACGAGGCACGCGCTACCAACAGAAAGTATCCCACCTGACGTTACTCCGCCACTGCACACGGGACATAGAAATATTCAGCTAATTTGCATGCACACACAACACAGAAATAATCTGCCAGTTTGCTAAGACAACGAACGCATCAACACAAACACAACTGCAGGACAATATCTGTCCTATGTCATCACCGGAACTATAGATACCTTGATTGTGGAGTTTGAAGCCATGATGTCGTGCAAGGAGATGCTGGTATACTTCTGATTTGTCGGGAGATTTCGTGCCACAAAACTGGGAACTGCAGACAGAATGTTGATACAATCATAAAATATGTAGATAAAAGACAGGATAGCAGCAATAAGATTACATAGTTGGGAGCTAAAGACAGGATATCAACAATAACATTGCGGAAGTGATGAACAACTAGCATTGGAACTGGTTTCCACAAACTAATGTGTCATGGCCTAGAACGTAGCTTTTCAAAGAAAGGTCCACTGGTTAAATCCAACCCGCAGAGGTCTGTCAAGTGGCCCGCGAATCACTACTAAAACAGAAATCTTTCCATACTGGGGATCGGGCTTCCGGTCCTTAACCATCTCTATTTTCAATAATCTGGCACCGGCTATCCTCCGAATAACGGGCACAAAAGATGGCGGCCGCAAAAACATCCTAACATAGCCTCAGTCACGTGTCAACTGCGCACTTCCGGCGACTTAATTTGCGGTTTTCCTGCGACTACCGCCACCGCCAAGAGTTCCCCCCCCCCCCCCTAATCGGGACAAATCCGGTGGATTGGGGCTTAATTAGATGGCTAGGACTCACGAGCAGCAGCTTCCGCATCTCCTACAGCTTTGCTCGTGAGTCCTAGCCATCTAGTTTAGCCCTAATCCACGCCGCGTGAGCGGCATAGACGACTCCCGGCGGTGGCAGTAGTCGCCGGAAAACCGCAAATTAAGTCACCGGAAGTGCGCAGTTAACACGTGACTGATGCCCTGTTTTTGGCCGCCATATTTTGTGCCCGTTATTCGGAGGATAGCCCTGGCCCCTTAGCAAACAATTAAACAGCCCTAGCCTAAAATATGTCACGGACTACCACTGCATACCTCAACAACACTATCTGGTATAGGATTATCTGCTAGAGGCACAGTCATACAGACAGTCACAGATACATTAGCTTGTAATGTAATAGCTTCCTTACTGTAAGTCTGGCTTAGGTTCTCATGTGTGTAGTTTGCTGATAGTGTAGCTGAGGTTGTAATGTTTGTAGTTTACTTGTTAAAAGTGTGGATAATGTTTTAATGTTTGTAGTTTACTTGTTAAAAGTGTGGATAATGTTTTAATGTTTGTAGTTTACTTGTTGAAAGTGTGGATAATGTTTTAATGTTTGTAGTTAACTTGTTGAAAGTGTGGATAATGTTTTAATGTTTGTAGTTTACTTGTTGAAAGTGTGGATAATGTTTTAATGTTTGTAGTTTACTTGTTAAAAGTGTGGATAATGTTTTAATGTTTGTAGTTTACTTGTTAAAAGTGTGGATAATGTTTTAATGTTTGTAGTTTACTTGTTAAAAGTGTGGATAATGTTTGTAGTTTACTTGTTGAAAGTGTGGATAATGTTTTAATGTTTGTAGTTTACTTGTTGAAAGTGTGGATAATGTTTTAATGTTTGTAGTTTACTTGTTGAAAGTGTGGATAATGTTTTAATGTTTGTAGTTTACTTGTTAAAAGTGTGGATAATGTTTTTATGTTTGTAGTTTACTTGTTAAAAGTGTGGATAATGTTTTAATGTTTGTAGTTTACTTGTTGAAAGTGGATGGTGTTTTAATGTTTGTAGTTTACTTGTTGAAAGTGTGGATAATGTTTTAATGTTTGTAGTTTACTTGTTAAAAGTGTGGATAATGTTTTAATGTTTGTAGTTTACTTGTTGAAAGTGTGGATAATGTTTTAATGTTTGTAGTTTACTTGTTAAAAGTGTGGATAATGTTTTAATGTTTGTAGTTTACTTGTTGAAAGTGTGGATAATGTTTTAATGTTTGTAGTTTACTTGTTGAAAGTGGATGGTGTTTTAATGTTTGTAGTTTACTTGTTGAAAGTGTGGATAATGTTTTAATGTTTGTAGTTTACTTGTTAAAAGTGTGGATAATGTTTTAATGTTTGTAGTTTACTTGTTAAAAGTGTGGATAATGTTTTAATGTTTTGTAGTGTTTACTTGTTGAAAGTGTGGATTTAATGTTTTAATGTTTGTAGTTTACTTGTTTGAAAGTGTGGATAATGTTTTAATGTTTGTAGTTTACTTGTTTGTTGAAAGTGTGTTTTATAATGTTTTAATGTTTAGTTTTTACTTGTTAAAAGTGTGGATAATGTTTTAATGTTTGTAGTTTACTTGTTAAAAGTGTGGATAATGTTTTAATATTTGTAGTTTACTTGTTAAAAGTGTGGCTGAGGTTTTAATGTTTGTAGTTTACTTGTTAAAAGTGTGGATAATGTTTTAATATTTGTAGTTTACTTGTTAAAAGTGTGGGTAATGTTTTAATATTTGTAGTTTACTTGTTAAAAGTGTGGGTAATGTTTTAATGTTTGTAGTTTACTTGTTAAAAGTGTGGATAATGTTTTAATATTTGTAGTTTACTTGTTAAAAGTGTGGCTGAGGTTTTAATGTTTGTAGTTTACTTGTTAAAAGTGTGGGTAATGTTTTAATGTTTGTAGTTTACTTGTTAAAAGTGTGGGTAATGTTTTAATATTTGTAGTTTACTTGTTAAAAGTGTGGATAATGTTTTAATATTTGTAGTTTACTTGTTAAAAGTGTGGCTGAGGTTTTAATGTTTGTAGTTTACTTGGTAAAAGTGTGGGTAATGTTTTAATATTTGTAGTTTACTTGTTAAAAGTGTGGCTGAGGTTTTAATGTTTGTAGTTTACTTGTTAAAAGTGTGGGTAATGTTTTAATATTTGTAGTTTACTTGTTAAAAGTGTGGCTGAGGTTTTAATGTTTGTAGTTTACTTGTTAAAAGTGTGGCTGAGGTTTTAATGTTTGTAGTTTACTTGTTAAAAGTGTGGGTAATGTTTTAATGTTTGTAGTTTACTTGTTGAAAGTGTGGCTGAGGTTTTAATATTTGTAGTTTACTTATTGAAAGTGTGGCTGAGGTTGTAATGTTTGTAGTTCACTTATTGAAAGTTTGGCTTCGGTTGAAATGTTTGTAGTTCACTTGTTTAAAGTTTGGCTGAGGTTGGCATGTTTGTAGTTTACTTGTTGAAAGTGTGGCTGAAGTTTTAATGTTTGTAGTTTACTTATTGAAAGTGTGCCTGGGGTTGTAATGTTTGTAGTTCACTTATTGAAAGTTTGGCTTAGGTTGAAATGTTTGTAGTTCACTTGTTTAAAGTGTGGCTGAGGTTTTAATGTTTGTAGATTACTTATTGAAAGAGTGACTGTGGTTGTTTACTTATTGAAAGTTTGGCTGGGACTGAAATGTTTGTAGTCTACTTGTTGAAAGTCTGACTGATATTGTAATGTTTGTAGTCTACTTGTTGAGAGTGTGGCTTAGATTGTAATGTTTGTAGTTCACTTATTGAATGTTTGGCTGGGATAGTAACGTTTGTAGTCTACTTGTTGAAAGTGTGTTAAAGCTGTCAGACTTGGTGTTTGACTTACCTGTTAAAGCTGTCAGACTTGGTATTTGACTTACCTATTGAAGCTATCAGAGATGGTGTATGACTTACCTATTGAAGGTATCAGAGATGGTGTATGACTTACCCACTGAAGCTATCAGAGATGGTGTATGACTTACCTACTGAAGCTATCAGAGATGGTGTATGACTTACCTATTGAAGCAATCAGAGATGGTGTATGATTTACGTATTGAAGCTATCAGAGATGGTGTATGACTTACCGATTGAAGCTATCAGAGATGGTGTAAGACTTACCTATATTGAAGTTATCAGAGATGGTGTATGACTCACCTATTGAAGCTATCAGAGATGGTGTATGACTTACCTATTGAAGTTATCAGAGATGGTGTATGACTTACCTAATGAAGCTATCAGAGATGGTGTATGACTTACCTATTGAAGCTATCAGAGATGGTGTAAAACT